ATTATTAAAAAAATATATTTATTATAATATTAAAAATTTAATTAAAACACTGCAAACCTCACGTGATCCAATGGTGATTACACTATCCTTGAGCAACGGATGGATTGTACCTCCTTCAACTGTTCAATTCTCTCCAAGCACAAACAATACTAACACTAATCATAATTATTTTTTATTGTCAAAAAAAAAAAGTTTAATTAAAAAACCCAATTTATATTTTGAGAAGGCTAACCCTTAAACTTTTACACTATTAATTTGCTTACAAGGCAACTCATGAAATACAAAAGGTTTAAACTCATTTTTAATCCTTATTTTGCTGAAAGTGCCTTTGCCCATTCAAACTTGTTCTCTATAGGTGCATCGGCAAGGATATCGATCCAATGATAGAATATCATTTGAATATGTCACCTGCAATGCTGCCTTTGTTGGTGTCCAGAACGTAATGCGAGCAGGTGCACATAAAACTTGCCTTTTACCTTGGACTCCAACTGAAAAGAATGAGAAACATGAGTGCCCTCAAGTCTTTCCCATGAATTGGAATTTTCACCATTGACAAAAGCAAACACATACATCTTGGCCCCAATTGTCATTATAATATGTCTGTAATTTTTTTACTTTCACTGTTTCTTTCCTCTGATATTTTACTCTGCCTCGGATTTCTTTATCCCTTGCCATTTACCAATAGCATAGCCACGTTTTCAAAATGTTAGTGGAATTGCCTGCCTTCCAGCAAAGATAAGCAGGGAACAACTTTATGCAAAGGTACCGGAAAACAATTCAGAAAAAGCAATTATTAGCCCATAGAAGACAGAAAATGTCAGTATGTCAGTGTGTGAATGTACAATTATTTACCAGCATCAGATATTGTAGACTACGGGTTGAGAGTCTAGAGCTCAGCGCCATGTGAAATGGGTCCTTGTAACCCCCTTTAGACATCAGAACATGACAGCTATTAATGGAATCAGAAAATAGATGTGAGGGAGAGGTATCAATTTTTTTCTATAAAAACATTTATAGAAATATTTAAGGATAGAGAAACAATAATAAATTGGTAATGTTAACTACCCGCTAAAATAAAGGTTTACAATAATATTATTTATAAATTTTGGGACTTAAAACATTAAAATAGATAGTTAAAATGGTCAAACTTTGCTAACTAATTCAACTATAAAAGTTTAGGGAGAAATTTATACTGTTATTATTAATAATTTAAATAATTTAATAATAATTTTTATTAAAAATTTAAAATTTAAAATTTAAATTTAAATTACATAATATATATAAAATAATATAAAAAATAGGATAAAATTATATTTTATTAGATAGTTTAAAATTAAAAAAATCTATAAATCATTGATTTAAAAAGAAAACTTGGAGCCTTTAAATGAAAAAATTTCAATGCATTTTAAAAATATCAAGTATTTTCAACTAATTACAATGTATTACATCATTATTTTTATTGTTAAATGAACTGATATAACTAACGACATGATAAATTTTTGATGAAGTGACACATTGAGAATGTCATTTGAATATGTCACCAGCATTGCGAGCAGGTGCACATGAAACTTGCCTTTTACCTT